GAAACTATTAAAAATGAATTATTGATATTGAATAAATACAACACCACCTGCAGTTTTTTTGAGTCCTTATTTAGTATTTGTACATGTATTTTCATTATTGACAGTTCAATTTTTTGTTCAGGTAAATTAATCAGTGAGTGATAGATTTCTCTTGGAAGAAATTTAAAGGTCCCATCAAATAAACTACACAGAGAACAATAGCTATTGTATTTATTAGATGGGACAAAAGAACTTACAAAAGTTTAAATCGACAGGTAACTTGCAGGTGAATCTGTGGAAAAGTATCATTGGGTTCGCAATACCATTACATTTACTCTGTGGTTAAAGTTTTTCAAATTTTAATAACTTTCTTAAACTTTCCTAGATTTGTACCAAACTTGGACAGAAGCTTCTTTATAATCATAAGATAGTATCAAGAAGAAAATTTTGTAAAAAATAATCCTGTTTATCCGTATTTTACTCATATATGGACTAAGTTTTTCTGCCAGTTAACATAACATTCACTCTGTGGTTAAAGTTTTTCAAATTTTAATAACTTTCTTAAACTATCCTGGATTTGTACCACACTTGGACAGAAGCTTGTTTGTGATCATAAGATAGTATTCAAAAGTAAATTTTGTTAAAAAAAAATCCTGTTTATCCGTATTTTACTTATAAATGGACTTAGTTTTTCTGCCAGTTAACATTACATTCACTTTGTGGTTAAAGCTTTCAAAATTTTAATAACTTTCTTAAACTATCCTGGATTTGTACCAAACTTGGACAGAAGCTTGTTTATGATCAAAAGCTAGTATCTAGAAGGAAATTTTGTAAAAATTTATTTCCTGTTTTTCCGTATATTACTTATATGGACTTAGTTTTATTCCAGTTAACATTACCTACAGTCAGCAGTTAAAGTTTTTAAAACATTTATTAGATTCATAAACTTTCTTGGATTTTTACCAAACTTGAACAGAACTTCTTACAATCAAAAGATAGTATCTAGAGAAAAAGTTTTAATAATTTTTTCCCCATTTTTGTTGAGCCTGCGACTAACAGCAAAAGTAGGCGAGACACTGGGTTCCGTGGAACCCTTACAAATTATTTTTATATGCATTACAGCTATAAGAGATTTTTTATTTACAGCTCTTCTATAAAAGCATGCAAAGCAAACCTTTGACCAACTTGCTTGCTATGTTTGTTTGGATGTTTGTAAACAAAAGGTAGGTAGTCTGTTTCAGTCTGTTTACTTTATACTGGAATTTGATTGGACAATAAACATTAACTTCATTGCATGTAATTTTTATACGACCGCAAAAATTAAAAATTTTTTGGTCGTATATTGGTATGACGTTGGCGTCGTCGTCGTCGTCGTCTGGCGTCGTCCGAAGACACATTGGTTTTCGCACTCTAACTTTAGTTTAAGTTAATGGATATCCATGAAATTTTACCATAAGGTTCAATACCACAAAAGGAAGGTTGGGATTGATTTTGGGGGTTATGGTACCAACAGTTAAGGAATTAGGGGCCAAAAAGGGGCCAAAAATAAGCATTTTTGTAACTTCCAGACAATAAGTTGTGTGTAAGTGTATGGATCTCTCTGACATTGAACCACAAGGTTCCATATCACATAGGGAAGGCTGTAATTGATTTTGGGGGTATTTGCCTCAAAATTTTAGGAATTAGGGGCCAAAAAAGGGGCAAAAAACAAGCATTTTTCTAGTTTCATGACAATTACTTGTGTGTAAGTGTTTGGATATTTCTTAAATTGTACTACAAGGTTCCATATCACAAAGGGAAAGCTGGAATTGAGTTTGGGGGTAATTGCCCGAAACGTTTAGGAATTGGGGGCCAAAAAGGGGCCAAAAATAAGCATTTTTCTAGTTTCCAGACAATAACTTGTGTTCAATTGTATGGATCTCTCTGAAATTGTACTGCAAGATACCATACCACAAAGGGAAGGCTGGGATTGAGTTTGGGGGTGATGAATCATAAGGGGGTTCAAAAAATTTGGGGGGGGGGGGGGGGGGGGGGTTTCTTTTTTTTTCTTTTTTTCCTTTTTTTTTTCTTTTAAAATTTTCCATTTTAAGTTGGTTATTTCTGATTTATATTTAAAAGCAAATAATAATGATATGGTAGGAAATACACACCAAACAGGATGTGTAAATTATTATACAATAAGTATTGTGCAATAGCAAGAAATTTTCAATTGCACAGTATTGCACAATAGCAAGAAATCTTCAATTGCACAGTATTGCGCAATAGCAAGAAATCTTCAATTGCACAGTATTGCGCAATAGCAAGAAATATCCAATAGCACAATATTGCGCAATAGCAAGAAATTGTCAATTGTACAGTATTGCGCAATAGCAAGAAATATTCAATTGCACAGTATTGTGCAAAAGAATATACTTTGTATAAATTGCTTATTTCTTGATCAATTTCAATGGGGTTTTATTCTTGAATTCTTGGGGTTCTTTAATATGCTGAATCTAACCATGTATTAAGTTTTTGGATTTTGGGCCCTGTTTTTAAATTGGTCCACATTGAGGTCCAAAGGGTCCAAAATTTAACTTTGTTTGATTTCAACAAAAATAGAATATATGGGGTTCTTTGATATGCTGAATCTAACCATGTATTTAGATTTTTGATTATGGGCCCAGTTTTCAAGTTGGACCAAATCGGGGTCCAAAATTAAACTTTATTTGATTTCAACAAAAATAGAATATATGGGGTTCTTTGATATGCTGAATCTAACCATGTATTTAGATTTTTGATTATGGGCCCAGTTTTCAAGTTGGTCCAAATCGGGGTCCACAATTTAACTTTGTTTGATTTCAACAAAAATTGAATATATGGGGTTCTTTCATATGCTGAATATAACGGTGTATTAAGTTTTTGGATTTTGGGCCCCGTTTTTAAATTGGTCCACATTGAGGTCCAAAGGGTCCAAAATTTAACTTTGTTTGATTTCATCAAAAATTGAATTATTGGGGTTCTTTGATATGCCGAATCTAACCGTGTATTTAGATTCTTAATTTTTGGTTCCGTTTTCAAATTGGTCTACATAAAGGTCCAAAGGGTCCAAAATTAAACTTAGTTTGATTTCAACAAAAATTGAATATATGGGGTTCTTTGATATGCTGAATCTAACCATGTATTTAGATTTTTGATTATGGGCCCAGTTTTCAAGTTGGACCAAATCGGGGTCCAAAATTAAACTTTATTTGATTTCAACAAAAATAGAATATATGGGGTTCTTTGATATGCTGAATCTAACCATGTATTTAGATTTTTGATTATGGGCCCAGTTTTCAAGTTGGTCCAAATCGGGGTCCACAATTAAACTTTGTTTGATTTCAACAAAAATTGAATATATGGGGTTCTTTCATATGCTGAATATAACGGTGTATTAAGTTTTTGGATTTTGGGCCCCGTTTTTAAATTGGTCCACATTGAGGTCCAAAGGGTCCAAAATTTAACTTTGTTTGATTTCATCAAAAATTGAATTATTGGGGTTCTTTGATATGCCGAATCTAACCGTGTATTTAGATTCTTAATTTTTGGTTCCGTTTTCAAATTGGTCTACATAAAGGTCCAAAGGGTCCAAAATTAAACTTAGTTTGATTTCAACAAAAATTGAATATATGGGGTTCTTTGATATGCTGAATCTAACCATGTATTTAGATTTTTGATTATGGGCCCAGTTTTCAAGTTGGACCAAATCGGGGTCCAAAATTAAACTTTATTTGATTTCAACAAAAATAGAATATATGGGGTTCTTTGATATGCTGAATCTAACCATGTATTTAGATTTTTGATTATGGGCCCAGTTTTCAAGTTGGTCCAAATCGGGGTCCACAATTTAACTTTGTTTGATTTCAACAAAAATTGAATATATGGGGTTCTTTCATATGCTGAATATAACGGTGTATTAAGTTTTTGGATTTTGGGCCCCGTTTTTAAATTGGTCCACATTGAGGTCCAAAGGGTCCAAAATTTAACTTTGTTTGATTTCATCAAAAATTGAATTATTGGGGTTCTTTGATATGCCGAATCTAACCGTGTATTTAGATTCTTAATTTTTGGTTCCGTTTTCAAATTGGTCTACATAAAGGTCCAAAGGGTCTAAAATTAAACTTAGTTTGATTTTAACAAAATTGAATATTTAGGGTTCTTTGATATGCTGAATCTAAACATGTGTTTAGATTTTTGATTATGGGCCCAGTTTTCAAGTTGGTCCAAATCGGGGTCCAAAATTAAACTTTGTTTGATTTCAACAAAAATTGAATATATGGGGTTCTTTGATATGCTGAATCTAACCATGTATTTAGATTTTTGATTTTTGGGCCCCGTTATCAACTTTGTCCACATTGAGATCAAAAGGGTCCAAAATTAAACTTTGTTTGATTTCATCAAAAATTGAATTCTTGGGGTTCTTTGATATGCTGAATCTAACCATGTATTTAGATTTTGGATATTGGACCATAATAGGTGAATGTCCAATTTAAAATTTTTAAGTTCTTAGACCACATTCATTCTGTGTCAGAAACCTATGCTGTGTCAAATATTTAATCACAATCCAAATTCAGAGCTGTATCAAGCTTGAATGTTGTGTCCATACTTGCCCCAACTGTTCAGGGTTCGACCTCTGCGGTCGTATCAAGCTGCGCCCTGCGGAGCATTTTATTTATTGTCTAATCAAATTCCAGTATATACAAAACAGACTGAAACTCCCCCTACCTATTGTTTGCAAACATCCAAGCAAACATAGCAAGCAAGTTGATCAAAGGTTTGCTTTGCATGCTTTTATAGAAGAGCTGTAAATTTTTCAAAATTTTAAATGTAAGAGCATCATGGCACAATCAAATTATTAAACATTTTTGGAAATGAATGTACCTTTATTTCTAAGGCATATATTGAAGGCTGCATATATTATTTACATATGTTATGGTTTAGGTGGCTGTACCTAGAAAATTATACTTATTCAAAAAGTAATACAATGATATATATATTTGAAGTCTAGAACCTGGTCTATCACATACAGTTGGTCCAGCAAGGGATGCTGGTAGTATAGACAAAACAGAGTAAGTAATTATCTGTAGGAATTTTTAAATAAGTGATGTCAACACATTTTATATTATATAAAAGAAGATGTGGTATGATTGCCAATGAGACAACTCTCCTCAAGAGACCAAATGACACTAAAATTCACAGCTATAGGTCACTGTACAGCCTTCAACAATGAGCAAAGCCCGCATAGTTAGCTTTAAAAGGCCCTGAAATCACAAATGTAAAACAATTCAAATGACAAAACTAATGGCCTAATCAATGTTCAAAAAAATAAATGAAAAACAAATATGTAGCACAGCAACAAACAACCACCACTGAATTACAGGCTCCTGACTTGGGACTGGCACATACATACAGAATGTGGCGGGGTTAAAATTCCCCCCCCCTAACCAGGGACAGTGGTGTAAAAGTACAACATGTACATGACATAAAATGTGGGCTACATGTCAATGACATAGCTACCCAGTACACAATAAGAAAAGACAAAAACATTTAGAAGCCATTAATCCATATCCAGTGTCATAACAAAGGTCTTCAAACACCAACATAATGTTATAGTTGATTGTTTAAAATTTATTCCGCAAAGCAACATGCTAGCATAAAAGTCTATGGCCAGAAGAATAATTGTAGCAAAAAATGGAATATCGGTCATTTATGGGAATTTTTAAAAAATGTAATAAATTGTATCACCTTTTACTTTATACTATTTTTACACAATATGAAAATATGAGTATAAACATATGTGGTTATATTCATATAAATAGTTTTATATAACTTTATTTCAGTATTAATGACACAATTATTCCAGAGAATGCTGGCAAAGTATCATCAGGAGTAAAAAGACCTACTACAGAGTATATAATATTTATATGTTTAGGTCATATGGTCAATTTTTCTTGCATCATTTCAAATCCATTATTTTCAGTCCTGAATGTACATAAACCAGCTTGACCTAAATCATTTATGATTTTATACTTACAAATTATCTTCTAAATGCCTCATGTTACTCTGATTTATAGAACTAATGCCACTTTATGATAGTTGTCAACTTTTTTTTTAGTCCCCTACCGACGAAGTCAAAGGGGACTTTAGGTTTGCACTCCGTCCGTCTGTCTGTCTGTCCATCTGTCCATCCGTCAGTCCGGCAAATCAGTTTTCCACACTTTTTTTCTTCGTTCTTGAAGATATTGATTTGATATTTGGTTTATAGTTTTATCATGACAAGTTATAGATCAGGTTCGAATTTTGTTCCCGTCTGATGATTTAGTCCAGAGTTATGGACCATAACTCTGGACCATATCTAATGTTAGAGTACTATATGTTAAACCATATTTCTGTACAAAGGGAGATAACTCATAAAGGCATTCTTTGTTAAATTATTTGAAGAATTTTTTGGCAGGTTTGTTTGTTATTTAGTATAAACTAATTTTCTGAATGCTATAGATATAAAAAAAAATTATGATAATAATCTATTTTTATTAATGTATATATTTCAATACATTACATTGTGTAGGTAGATAAAAGTTGTTGACATTTTATAGATAAGTTACAAATCTATATTAGTTTGTGACAAATGAAAGAAAAAATATTTGGAACTATTTATTATATTTGATTATAATTTGAAAATAGATATACACTGTATTACATCATATCTAATTTTAGAGAACTATTAATCATATCTAATGTTTTTTTCACTCATATAATCAGTTTTCCACACTGTTTTAGTCATGCTTGAAGATATTGACATGATATTTACTTTTTGTTTACACCATGACAAGTTATAGAACAGGTTAGCATTTTGTTCCAGTAAAATGAATTTTTACCCGGTAGGGGACTATGTATTGCCATGCAATACTCTCAGAATGCTTGTTAAATTGACTGTTAATAGTACATGCTTTCATAATTTATAAAAGCTTAGTATTTTGAACACTAGATATACAAGATTACCAAAATTTGCCATCAGTTTTTTTTTAATAAATATGTGGTTTAGGAAGAATCTCTTTAAGTTGCCATAGATTAATTAGTTAAATCGAGGAGTAGAACCAGTAAAAATCATCACTAGTTTAGTAATAATACTCTTAACTCTTATACTAAAATCTATGTCAATAAAGATGTCATATCTATGAGATTGAAAATAACCATTGCATACATAGTAACATCAAATTTGTCATTTGTACTATAAATCTGTCACTTACTTGCACACAAAATGAAATTTTCTTTAAACATGTATATATTGGTTAAATAAAGGGGCAATTCTTGCAGACTTAGTCAATGTCTATGAAAAAAACATTTACCACCATTAAATGTTCATTGTTTCAGTGATCATTCATATATCAAGCAAAAAGGACAAAATGCTAGTGCTTCAAATTCAAATGACCATGAATACTATTGTCATTTGTACACAGAAGAAGAAGAAGAAGATGATGAAGATGTCAATTTTTTATGTCATGATAGGATGAAAAATTTATTAAAAATGCTGAATTTAAAGAGTAATACAGATTACGACTATGCAAGCATGTTAAGGATGTGTAGTCAAACAGACCTAAGTGAACAAGACATTTTCATGGGCATTATTCAAGAAATGAAAACACGGTATTATTAACATCATCATAATTTTCACCATAGCATTTTGAGGTCAGATTTTCTCAAATTGGATTTCAATATGAAAATAGGGAAATGTTGCATGATTGCCAATGAGATAACTATCGGTAGATATAATTTGACAAAGATACAAACAATCTAAGGGTCATCCAACAACCTTCAACAATAAGCAAAATTCGTACCATGAAGAAAATAAAATAAACATTCAAAATAAAACACAGCAGTCTGATAGATACCACATCAATGATTGAAAAACATATGTGGCAGAAAAAAACCCAAATTTCAATTAATTTATTACACATTCATGGCTAGAGACAGGTGGTTACAGAACTTTTAACATATCTATCTACCAGAATAAGTACTTTCCTGTAATACATTTTCAATTTAAAGTTACTTTTTTAAACAGTAATTTCAAACATTATTGTTTTTTTATTTCTAAATATTGATGATGAAGATCAAATCATTAACGGTACCAATTTTATAACACAATATATAGATATAAGAAGATCTGCATATTTTGACAATAAATGTCTCATCACTGATGCTCAAGGCCAGAATACTTGAAAATCCACAACAAGAGACTTCAGTCTTGCAGGAAACACAGTCAAATAAATAAACAGACTTAAAAAACAATTTTGTGTATATAGCAAAGACATCATTACTTATTATTGAAATTCTTTGAACTAATCTTTCTTACTACATTTGTACTTTAATATTTAATATTAATTCACTTGTATATTTAAATACCAATAGATGTCCACATTTACTTGAAACACTAGCATCAGTATGTGTGAAAGATGAAACCAAAGTGACTTTAAGGCAAATTACCAGTGTTGCAGTGGCATGCTCTTTGTCTGATGTTTGCGAGAAACAATAAAAACTCTGGTATACAGAGATGCATTACCATGTTAGCTGTAAAAGGAGATGCAAATGATGAGGTAAGAAGTAATGTTATGCAATATAGTTTGTTTAAAGGTTATATAAGATACCTTTTCTTCAGCAGGAGACCCAGTAATGATTATTTAATGGTAGGGGCTCATTTTATTGCTGGAGTTTGGTTATTAAATCTCAGTAAATTAAACAGTCTTATGATTGCAATTGTACTCTACACCGGGATATGCCCAGGTTTACATGAATTTATACTTTTATGCCACTTGTTTTGCTACCTCAATGCTTATTTTGCTACAATTATTACTGCATAGTGCCTAACCTTTCCCTTTTTGCTGTGTCTCAAAATATAAAATCTGTTATTCCACCAATTATGATAGCAATGAATACAAATAGATTTTATGTTTTCCATTATTGTATACTGTAAATTCAGACATTTAATCGACATATCCCATGACCAACAAATATATGAGATAGTCAGATTAATTATTGGAATTTCAGGAAAAGTTTAATATTTATAGATATATGTATTGGATATCAGAATACTACAGTTGTTATTACTGCGATACTTACCAAGTTTCATAAATCACATTGATAAAAATCTCAATCATTTCTGAATTTACAGTATACTTTTGTTTTTCTTTTAGGTTACAGCATTACTCTGCTTTTACATTAACAAAATACATTATATGAAAGTCTGTATTAAATGGGAAATACACTTGCTGTATGTTGGTTCGAATCCAACTGCAGACAAACCAATGTATCTTAGTCTAGCTAGCTATTAACACTTAAACTGTGAAAGCATTCTTATCAACATTTTGTTATGGGAAATATAACAAATGTTATTCAATATAAAAGTAAAAAATGATCTTTTCCTATGTTTCCATTTTGATAAAAAAAAAAAAAAAAAGCAAATAAATGAAAAATTAGCTTCTGTTATATATTTTACAGCGTTTCTGAGTTTCAACAATTACAAAATGGAACAAAAACATTTATCATTGATAAAAATGGCTTCACAGTGCTTATTTCTACTTTTGGTGATGGTGCATTATTAACCTGGCCCCAAATACATAAGTAATAACTGATTATGATAGCACTATTTCATACATGTTTTATTTTATATTCTATTTAATAGTTTATCAGAAGATTGAACAGGATGTCATTAAGCCTTTCCTGTTCTGGAAAATTAAGGATTCTTGATAAGGCTGTCATTGCTTTACACAATATGTTGGTTGAGGCAATTCGTACATACCCTTTAATGAAAATAACCGGTGATAACTTGGATATGTATATCAGAACAAACCACCAAAGGACAGATAATAGCAACCAGGATATACACTGGTTTGCCTCTAATGCATTTTTCACCAGACTTAATTACCAAAATCTTCCAGAGAGTACACCAGAATTTAGTCCAGGTTCTGTTGCTACTTTTGTTTGCATGGTTGACTTGTTCTTAACTTTTTATTCCCCCGCCGTAGCGGAGGGGGCATTAAGTTTTACCCTTGTCCGTCTGTACGTACGTACGTACGTCCCAAAATTGGTTTCCGATCTCTAACTATAGTTTGCCTCAACCAAATGTTATGAAACTTATACACAAAGCTTATTACCACAAAACACAGATCAAGTTTAAATTTTGTGGCGTCACTTTTACTGTTCTAGAGTTATGCTCCTTTACAAACTGAAAATTGCTGAATTTATCATTTCGGTTCTCTAACTTTAGTTTGCCTCAACCAAATGTTATGAAACTTATACACAATGCTTATTACCACAAAACACAGATCAAGTTTGAATTTTGGTGGCGTCACTTTTACAGTTCTAGAGTTATGCCCCTTTACAAATGGAAAAAATGCTGAATTTTTCGTTTCCAATTCCTAACTTAAGTTTGCCTCAACCAAATGTTATGAAACTTATACACAATGCTTATTACCACAAAACACAGATCAAGTTTGAATTTTGGTGGCGTCACTTTTTACAGTTCTAGAGTTATGCCCCTTTACAAATGGAAAAAATGCTGAATTTTTCGTTTCCAATCTCTAACTTAAGTTTGCCTCAACCAAATGTTATGAAACTTATATACAATGCTTATTACCACAAAACACAGATCAAGTTTGAATTTTGGTGGCGTCACTTTAACCATTCTAGAGTTATGCCCCTTTAGAAATGGAAAAATTGCAAAATTTTTATTTTCTTCTAAATATCAAGTAATTTTATTAAAATTGGAGTTATCTTCCTTTGTCCATGATTAAAGTTGAATCAACTACAATCAATGCTTTATACAATGCAATGTTAAATTTTGACTTCCACTGATAAAACACAGATCAAGTTGAATTTGGGTAGTGTCACTTTAATCATTATGCCCCTTTATAAATCGAAAGATTGCATAATTTTTAGTTTCCATTCTGTAACTTAAGTTTGCCCCAACCAAACATTATGAAACCTATACACAATATTCATTACCACAAAACTAAGATCAAGTACAAATTTTTTGTTTCCGTTTTCTAACTTTAGTTTGCCTCTACCAAATGTTATGAAACTTATATACAATGCTTATTACTACATAATACAGATTAAGTACGAAATTTGATGGCACACTTTTACCATTCTTGAGTTATGTCCCTTCATAAACATAAAAATTGCCAAATTTTATGTTCCATTCTCTAACTTTAGTTTGTCTCAACCAAATGTTATAAAACTTATACACAACCGTTCTAGAGTTATGCGTGTTTACAAATAATAAAATTGCTGAATTTTTAGTTTCTGTTCTCAACTTTAGTTAGCCTCAACCAAATGTTATGAGACTTACACACAATGCTTATTACCACAAAACTCCGATCAAGTTCAAATTTGGGTAGCGTCACTTTTACCGTTCTTCAGTTATGTCCCTTTATAACTATATGATATGCAAGCGGGGGCATCATCTGTGTCCACATTTATTAATTTCTTTTTCAATTGGTTGAACACTTGAAGTATTATTTTTCATGGATTGTACATTTGATTTCTTTAATTACATAGACAGTAACTGTTTAGTGTCTTTATCAAGCAATTAATTTTAAATTTTTTTTCCAGCCCAATTGTTAAGTAATTTTTTATGAAATCATGACTTAAACAGGACTGCAATGAGGACCCCAAATTTAACTGTGATGTCAACAGAAATTTGACAAAAACATTAGCTCGCAACAAAAGCAGGATAAAAGGAGACTATAAACGTCTAGTATACATTTATCGCTTCGTGTTATCTGTACACCTGTGTTAGTATAGTAGAAAGGTCGATTGCAGGATGAAATCATATAAATTTCATATTAAACAACTTTCAAGATGTTTAAATCTTTTATTATCCCATAAGCTAACAATCTATTTGGCAAATTGAAATATAATTAGACACTGTGCTTTTCAATACAAATCCATTATCATAATCTATTGATTGATTAACAATTTGCAAACATTTAAGAAATGTTTATTTTTAGTCCCCTACCGACGAAGTCGAATGGGATTTTAGGTTTTCACTCTGTCTGTCTGTCTGTCTGTCCATCTGTCAGTCCGGCAAGACTTTTTTTCTTCATGCTTTAAGATATCGATTTGATATTTGGTGTATTGTTTTATCATGACAAGTTACAGGTCAAATTCAATTTTCACGATTTTAGCTTTTCTCCTTGTTCAGTTAAAGCCCTTTCCCTAGAATTAAATTTTTAATGAAATACTTATTAATTACTAGATTTCTGTTCAAAGGGAAATAACTCATTTTATTAAAGATTTGTTAAAAGACATTTTATTAAGATAAATGACATTTTTGATTTTTATGCCCCCGCCGTAGTGGTTGGGGCATTAAGTTTTACCCTTGACCGTCTATACATACGTACGTACGTACGTACGTACATATGTCCCAAATTTGGTTTCTGTTCTCTTACATGAAATTTTTGTAGCGTCACTCTAGCCGTTTTAGAGTTATGCCCCTTTATAAATGAAAAAATTGCAAAATTTTTGGTTTCCGTTCTCTAACTTAAGTTTGCTTCAACCAAATGTTATGAAACTTATACACAATGCTTATTACTACAAAATACAGATCAAGTTTTAATTTTGGTGGCGTCACTTTTACTGTTCTAGAGTTATGCCCATATCTACGGATATGAACGTAGATAACTTATATTAACACAACATGTTATTCAAACCATTTTTGTTGAGTTATGTTTTTCAGACTGCTGTTTTCTTAAAGGTTACATATTCTAATTACTCTTTGAGGTGTTAATTTGTGGTCACTATGTGTTATTTTTATTAAATGGGTTTTCCTATGTAAAAAATTGATGATTAAATTGTAGTAATTAAGTGCATTAAAAGAGAATTTTTCAAGTTTTCAAGGTTATAGTATATGTTGTAAGTGTAGTCAAGTTGAAAATGTAAATTTCCAGATGGACTTATTTCATTTTTGTTGTTCATCATCGTCAGATTTATGGTTCTTGATGGATTGGAAAATTGAATCCATTTTACATTTCAATATGTTTTTTCCCCGGACAAAGTGGAGGTTAAGATTACCTTATAACATTATGCAAGGTTAATTATACATGTATTATGTCTTTTTTTAGGTAAGACTGAAAGACATAGATGCAGAAATGTTTGTTTTGAATGAAAGTGAAACATTGAAGCTGAATGATGTACAGAAGGTTTTGATAAGTCGTCTTCTTTGTGACAGGGATGAATTTCAGTGGCTTAAAAATAAACTACCACAACATATACCACATCGGTACAAAATTAAGTCTAAATATAGGGAAAAAAACGAAATTACACCAGCCCTCAATGGAATGGGTTTAAGTAGTGCCAATTTACAGTCTGTTGAGACAAGTTAACGATTGTAATACTTAACCAGCTAGTCAATCTTCTATAAACTGTATATATGAATGACTATTACAAAGTAACATGTAGATTAAAAGGAAATTTTATTATTCTGTGAAAATTAGGTTTGTTATAAATTTTAAATGAAATTCATGATCCAAGTTGAAATTTTGAAAAAGAACATTGTGATTACATCTTATATCATGTTTATGTTGAACATATTTCTACATTCCTTGATTTTTACTGCAAACCAAATGCATTTTATTGCCAAGATAATTATGGTTGCATGTTAAATATAATAGAAAAAAAATAAAGGATATGGGTAGCTGACTACTGTAAATTCAGAAATTATTGCGAGGTTTTTATTATTGCGACAAATGCGACAGAGTTGTAAACGCAATAATTTAAACTCGCATTTTGAAATATTTTATATGAACTAAACAGGATTTTTCTAAAATCGTAAAAATTAAAATCGCACTTAAGTGTAAAATGACAAAATCGCAATAATAAATGCACGCAATAATTTCTGAATTTACAGTATGTGGTATGAGCTTTGCACATTGTTGAAGGCTGACAGTGACCTTTAGCTGTTAATTTCGGTGTCATTTGGTCTATTGTGGAGAGTTGTCTCATTGGCAATCATACCACATCTTCTTTCATATATTGACACAAAACTCCTGTACAACAAAACACAAAATGCAATGGAATAACGTATTTATTGCTATTCTTCATTTCAAAGCGACAGTGAGGACTTCAACATGAAGCAAACACTCTCACCTCACTGCAAGTATAAGATCAGATGGCCCCTAGCACTGGTTTGATTTTAATTCTTTGACTTTTATTAACATATTACATAAAAGAATTACAGAAGTAATAGAAATATCATATCAATACAGTACCTTATCTTCTATAATAATACTTCATTTGGCATTTGTTTAATTTTAAGTTACAGTGACAGCATGTCAAAGAAACAGCAGGTCTTTAGGTTGAAAATAATGTTCAAGAATGAATCGAAAAATGAAGACTGTCTGGATATAATGGGTAACTATGAGGATCAAATAATTGATTTGCACACAAAGGCATATGGTAATAAAGGCATTAGTTTACATTGCATACTGTTCATAACATCTTTTTGTATTTGATTTGGATTTCAGTATCATTTCTATTACTAATTGCACTTGGGATTTTTTCCTAATTTAAAAAAGCAGTGCATTTGTTTATGATAGCCATCAAAATTTGATTGAAATCCAAAATGTGTTAATGTTTGTAATATCCCTATTACAGGAAATATGGATGTATTAGATAAAATGGAGTGGGTTTAGGAGGAGATATGCTGACCAGGGAGAGACTGCAAAATGCTAAAAACATTACATATTTAGCACCAACACCAAAGGGTCGATTTGAACATTTGTCCCCGGTCACTTGTGAACTTTGGCATGTGAAGCAAGATCTTCTATCTGTATGTTTTATTGTATTCATACTTATTCCCTTTCGTAATTTCGTTATCAACAAGCATTCTGAGTCCAAGGACCATAATTCTGCACAAAATCTTTAGACCGGAACAAAATTCTAACTTTATCTGTAACTTGTCATGATAAAACAATATACCAAATATCAAATCAATATCTTCAAGCACGAAGAAAAAGTGTGGAAAACTGATTTGACAGAATGGAAACCTAAAGTCCCCTTCAACTTTGTTCTTATTTTGTTCCTTAAGTAATGCTCTCTCATAGCATCAAATCTATATTCTTGATTTTTTTAATTTCACCTAAGTGCATCCTTAATGTTGGATTTATAGGCTTACAAAAAAACAAGTTCCAATATTTAAAAGTAAAATTGAAGTTATTTTAACACTGTCTTTATGTCAATTTTTTAAAAAGCATATAAAGCCTTATTTAAAAGCGATTCATTGGGAGAGTGTGGAACTTTGTTTCACATGAAGACAGCATTAAGGAGGAATGATGTTAATGGAAATGTAAAATCAAACTACAAAGCCCATGAAGAACTATTTCTGCTAATTGTTAAAGCATTAATTCACATAGCTTCAGATGAAATCAAGGACTGCAGAGAACAAAACAGAGACATTGTGCTTAGTAGTGTTTTTTCAAAGATTTATGGTTTGTACAATTGAGAGTTTAATAATTAAAATTACCTTTTGTTTAAATACATACATATTAAGGAGCAAGAATCGTGAGCTTTACATTTATATGCATGTCATATCTCAGAAAACTGAAGGACATCACATTAACATTGAATATTGCTATAGAGTTGTGTATCAAATAAAATACATTTTAAAATACAGTGCCAACAATATTATTTGTTGGATACCAATTTTCATATAATTATTTCATTGGTACGGTGGCAAACATTATTTTAAATTTATCTTCATTGAATTTTAAATTTTCAAATTCTACATGGATGCATGCTGACTTTGACACAACCATGAAATCAAGTATTTGAGAAAATGCAAGTATTCCACATTCCATGAAAATTGGTACCCTAGAAAAAATCAAGGAGTCCACACTATTTAAAATTACATATTTCTACAGCTAAAATAAAACATTGGATGCATTTCTATGTACACTTAATGACCAAGCTAAATAAATTATAGGAATGAAATGGCAGATATACATATCTGGATACATATACATAAATCAGCTTAATATTTAAACTTATCGGTCGTCCTACTGTGTATATCACACTGTTCAGCTCTGAATAAAATTGCATACCACAGCTTTGTGACGTCAAATACGTTGACCCGGCCTTAATAAAATTGACCTGAACATATCAGCGACGTCATAATGTATGAACCGACGTTGATAAGTTTGATCCAAACTTATCAAGTCATCTTCAGGTTTGCTGGTGAAACCAAGAAAACACTTGTTTCTCTCACGCAAAATACGCAAATATAACCCGTTACATCAATTATCTGGTTGTCTGCATATTTATATGGTAATATATCAGCTGCTCAACTCAATATGAATCCATTTTGAACTCGTTTGCTTCGCTCACTCGACAAAAAGCTTCATATTATGGCTTGCAGCTGATATTTTACAATATCAATATGCAGGCAACCTGATACTGTGGATTCATTTATTTTCGTGGGTACCAATTTTCGTTGATTAAGGAAAACTTACATGTTCGTGAATATTTAATTTCATGGTTTTGCCAAAGTCTGCATACAAGCCTATAGAAAATTTGATATTCGTTGAACATTTAATTTCGTGGTTCACCTGTACCCACTAAATCCACGAAAACTGGTATCTAACGAATGATAATGAATCCACAGTAATCGGTACAGATGATGAAGAAGATGAAGATGAATCGTTACACATGATAAAATTGTTGAGGTATGTAAATTAAGATAAACAGTTATTCTTAGGTCTAGGATACAGTACAGACGATTATGTTTACAACTATTTCACAAATTTATTAACCTGGGGATGCAAATTGTGAATATGAATGACACAGCAAAGGAGGGGGACATGGAGAGACTCATAATGAATATGAAGGAAAATGCTGCCTTTTTTTACAGCCACTCAGCAATGAGTAAATATTTTTCTGAATGCATTAATACCATCTTGCAAGTAGATCACCTTTCATCCCCTCGTATGAAAATGAGACAGCTAGAAGGGGCATTCATCAATACTAAAGGGGGAAATGGTAAAAAAATGGAAGCAGACCTTGTGCAGGAGCATGCCATTAGAAACCAGAAAGACTTAATAAGAGGTCTAGGTAAGAAAAATAGATTTAGCCTTCAATCAGCCTGTTACCCTGCTTCCATTTTGAGCAAATGGTTATGTGAATATTTCTTTTCATGTAACAGTTCATTTTGGGTTCCACTTCACGGAATACGTTGAAACTATGTCGATTTCTTTGGAAAATTAGAGACAATGATTCGGATTTTAACAAGTAAAGTTTCAAGCGTTGAATGTAAATTGCAGGATAAAAACAATATATGTACATTGTCGGAAAATATAGAATCTCGGCGAGACTTGCTTTTCGTCCTGTTTCTAAAGCTTTTACAAGTAAACTTTATATTTTCTGACAATGTACATATATTGTATACTTATTATGCTGTTATTAAAAACAAAGAATGTAACAACAACATATAAAACAAAGAATGTAACATCAACATAATGAATTGCAGAGGTCCAACCCTGAACAGTTGGGGCAAAAATGGACACAATATTCGTGGTTGATACAGGTCTGAATTTGGATTGAAATTAAATGTTTGACACATAATAGGTTTCTGACACAGAATAACTGTAGTCAAAGAACTTAATATTGGTTATATGATTTGAATTTATATTCAATTTTTTTCTTTTTGCAATACACTATGCTGTTGCGAATTGACCCCCCCCCCCCCCCCCCAAAAAAAAAAAAAAATATCACCACCCTTTTTTTGGGGGGCAAAAAATTATTTTTTTATAAAAAAAAAAATAATATTTGAAGAAATTTTCTTTTTAATTTCTGAAATCTGTAATGAGAAAAAAAAATTGCCCCCCCCCCCCAATTTCTTTTTATTCCTCCACCCAATTTTGTTTTTTCACCTCCCCCCATCCCTTTTTCCAAAAAAAAATCTTTCCCTCAAGATATGGTCATTATCTTAATTCAAATTTCCAAAGGAGTTTGCAACCATAATTACCCATTTAAATACATCATAAAAGTCTTTAATCTGCATTTTTATTAGTAACTTCTAAAAATAAATTGACAGCTAATCACCTCAAGACAATACAAAGTTTCTTTATCCACAATTTTAAAGCAGTGTAAGGGAGGTAATCCAAATTTAACATTGTAATTAACAGTGATTGTCCATTAACAAAGAAACCCTTGTTTTATCCCCCTTTTTGCCCCTTATTCCTATACGGTTTGAGCCATTATCCCCCCCCCCCCCCCCACACCCCACCCCCAAAGCCAATTCTAACCATCCTTTTGTGGTATGGGAACTTATTGTACAATTTCAGAGAGATCCATACACCGTTCTACAAGTTATTGTCTGAAAACTAGAAAAATGCTTATTTGGGCCCCTTTTTTGGCCCCTTATTCATAAACTGTTAGGACCATAACCCCCAAAATCTTTCCCAACCTTCCTTTTGAGGTTATAAACCTTGTGTTTAAATTTCATAGATTTCTATTAACTAATACTAAAGTTATTGTCCAGAAACCATGTGTCTTTGGACGACGACAACGACGTGATACCAATATGGTCTTATAAAAAACAACACACAAAGTTGAAGCAAAAGGATCACAAAGTCATTTACTAAATGATGAATTAATTCAGTTGATCAGGAAACCTAATCTTAGTGGTGGCATATTTCATGTTATCCTGATTTAGAGTAATTTCTAGCAATTTGATTGGCTGATATTGTCCTAATAAATTTCAGTACAATTTTTTGTTACGCCAATTGGAATTATCTCCCTTATACCATTGACCTAATAAAAAAAAATAATTTTGAGTTGCTTTATAGTCCTAATATTTTTAATTTTTCACAGTTTTAGATTAATAAATATATTTGGCTGATATTGTCCTAATAATTGAATTTGAATAGAACAAAATCAGGATAAATTCGTTACACAGTGTGCAATTGTCCCAATTCAGAATTTATCGGGTAAATACATTTCATATCGGGTGAGGCGAACCCGATATGAATTTTGTTGACCCGATAAATTCTCGTATTAGGAGAATTGCACACTGTGTAACTAATATTGCTTATGATCATTTAAATCTATTAAAAAAGATAAAGAGATTACTTTCTAAACAGTAAGATCTTCGAAGCAATACATGCAGACAAAACCTTGGACAGTTTCATAGCATACAGATGTCCATCAGTCACATCTGTCTTACTTGTTGATCCTATAGTTGAGTCTAATTTTTAATAATTTAGGAGCAAATAAAACTGAGAATGGTTCAAGGAGAGCAAGCAGTTCAGCAGATATTATTCATAGAATTGGAGACAACATAGATCATTTGCTAAATATACCTAAACTTACCACAAGCCATGCAAAGAAGACTTCATCCAAAGATCTTGAAATTGCAATTAACATTTTAAAGAAAGTTCAACCTTTTAATTATGTTAAGGGAAGGCAATTTTAAAGTTTAAAAACCATAGCAAAGAATCCCAAATTAGTTGTTCCAAAGAAAGATCTTGTACATGCCATCCAGAAAAAAATTCAAAAGTTGTTTTTAAATTCATAAGTTTTTTTATAGTCTGTTATTAATGGTTTTATTGAATATCATCTGCCTGTATCAATTGTACTTTGTGTCACTATTAAAAAATTAAATGGGAATACCTTACTTACTGAATGTCAATAAAATATAAATTATAACCATAATTTTTTTTAATACATGTACATGTGTATGTTACTAATTTGTCTCCATTAATACTGCAAATGTTATGATTGATTGATTGTTGGTTGCTTTACGCCGCATTAGCAAATGTTATGAAGGTAACAGCAGTTTATAGTTGAAGTATTTACGCTTTATCTATTTCTATATTTAGTAATAAAATTATTTAAGCTACATTTATTTCTATATTTTAAAATAGTGTAAGAATTATATTTTTACAAATAAATTTAGAAATCTGGCATTTCGTAAGGGGAGATAAGTTAGTTCCCAATGTTTTATATCAATGGGAATTGATATTGTAGATAAAGTTAAGTTTAACTTCTTCATTAAAATATCAGGAAACAATGACTTTTACATTCTGTGTTATTTAAATATTCTTTGTTAATTAATGAAATTATAGTGAGCTATGTTAATAATTTATTACACCCAAAATTTAAGTCTTTATCAATTTAATGCTGGCATTAAATACATTTTCCCTGTATGACTAATCTCTGTATCCTTTCCTTAATTAATTTTTTTCTACTTAATTGTTTTAATGTGTCTCTCCATGTCCCTTCATTGTGTAATTTTAATCTGTAAGACCTTCCCTTATTGTTTTGTACCAGTCTCTCCATCTCCCTTCCTCAAGTTAATATTTTTCTAAAAATCTCATCTCATTATTTTGTATGAGTTCCTCAATGTCCCTTCAATGAGCAATTTTTTCTAAAAGACATTACCTAATTTTTTCAAACGAGTCTCTCTATGTCCCTTCATTGAGCATTTTTTTCTAAAAGACATTACTTAATTTTTTCGTACGAGTCTCTGCATGTCCCTTCATTGAGCATTTTTTTCTAAAAGACATTACATAATTTTTTCGTACGAGTCTCTCCATGACCCTTCATTGAGCATTTTTTTTCTAAAATACATTACTCAATTGTCTTGTAAAGTCTACATTATCATGATAATATGTAAATATTTAATTAAAGAAACATGAGTAGGGTTCAAGTTTCCAAAGGAAAATATCATTCCCATCTCTATAATCAATATAAAATAATACATATTATCACCTTATATTTCTTAACAAATGGTATGCTAACTAGTGATATACAATCAAACTTTGAATGTATAATATACAATGTAATATATTTTTATAAAATATTAAAAATATATAATATTGTTATTTCCTTGTACATCTTCCTTCAGTTTATTTTTTCACTGCTATTGTCAGTTTGTATTTGTTGTACATGATTCATTGATTGTAATAACAACTAAAATTTAACTTTACATGTACAAAATGAAATATTTTAGTTCTTTATATTTGCCACACCAGAAAATGAATGCATCTCATTTTCTCATTAATTTTCAACAATACATTTCAGATAATAAATCAACAAGGCATCATATTATGAAACTAAATATGAACTGAAGAGTGTGCTTTCAAGAATGTATAATTTGAAATAATTCATATGCTGGTCTGCTATATTTTTATCTGTCCATTATTATCATATTATATACACAATTGAGAATAGCACCAAATTAATTACAATGGAAAGAAAATTTCAAAAAAGTTGTGAATTGATAGAAGGAATTTAGTTTTAGAAAACAAAGAACTGTAATGGATATAGGCACCATTAATAAAATTTTTAAACATTGACTTAAGTTGAATTGCATTTAGACTAAAAAAAATATTGCTGTTTTTATCATGTAAATGTTTTAATTTGAAGCATTTACATATCATATCAAAACAAAAATTGGAATGAAAAAATACATTTTTAATAATTGTGGACAACATTAACCAAAAATTTTGTAATTATTATTATGACTGGGTTTAGATGAGAATTTGTTATAGTCTGGAAGTAGCCATTTTGTATAGGTTATTAAATAATTCTTTCAGTGAAAGAGAAATTTACATTGACTGTGATATTTTTTTTCATTATAAGTGTTCAATTTTGAAATAACTGTGATATAAACTGTGATATTGACTTGTATTGTATATTGAATGAAAAAAAAAACCATTCCAGAATATTTATAGTTATCATCAAGTCTGTTTGCCTCTTTGTTTGTAAGTACTTGTAATATATTAAGTGAAATTGATTTAAAAAATGTGTAGTTCTGACTTAAAAATGAATTTGAGTGATGTGTCCTGTAAATGGATCATAAGAAGTTAAAATGAATGTATATTTTGTTATACCAAGTTGAAGCAAATTGTAAAAAATATGTTTGTTTTTTTTTAAATGGGAAGTTTTGAGAAACATCTGTTTTTGCTAATGATTTTTGAAATTGATTTCTGCTATTATGTATTGTTCATCACCATTTTTAAAAACATTGGCCAATAAAATGCTTCGCTGGGCGCAGCTTGATACGACCGCAGAGGTCGAACCCTGAACAGTTGGGGCAAGTATGGACA